TTCTCGAGTCAATTTTAACCAGTCAAATCAATTATATTTATACGAAAGTAATTATTGTTATAAAAAAAACGAATTATATATAGATTTTTTTTTTCTTTTCTAAATTTTTTCCATTGTATTATTGTTTTGACGATTTATATCTCGTTCGTTAGAAATGATTTGTTTTTTTTTTTTTCTTTTCTTCTTCGTTAAGAAAATAAATGCACATTGCATTGCAATATCTTGCATTTGTAAAACTATTATCACACTATACATAGTTGATTTGAACTATTTATCAATATATAAACTGTCATTCTATCTTTGGACAAGAAGCTCGAGGGCGTAGCCCCCGGTACGTTCGTTCGTTCGTTTCGAATTTTAATCAGTATGGTAGCAAGTAAACCCCCCCCCCCTCTTGTATCCCCCCTGTTCCTCTCATATAGTAGAATGGTCACAAACCGTGTGTATATGTGTGTGGGCATGCGGCTTTTGCGAGCATAAATCACGATAACATAATTTATATGCTAATACTAAAAGACTAGCTAGCTAGCGTTAGCTTGAACCAAAGGTATGTTCGTTCGTTTAAACCATGTGTTATATTGTGCGTACCAATGCGTGTTTATATGTACGTGTATATATATGTACGTATGCATCCCATAGGCGTCGAGTTTTGCAATATTTTTTTCTTTGTTCGTTTTGTTTTAACGTGATGTATCATTGCTTTCAACTTTAAAACAGGTGTTATAGGTATATTTAGATTGAAACATTTTTTATTTATTATTATTACTTTTTTTTATAATTAACATATTTCACAATTGCATTTAATACGTGTGATAAAATGATATATCGTTGTATTTGTTTGTTGTTAATTTAAAAAATTTTTCTTTAATTAAAGAATATTTGTTTTAATTTCTATTTATTTTGCTATTCTTTTTTTTCGTTATTTTATTCGGCAATAATAAAATGTCAGGAAAAAGAATATTTCGTTATGAAGATATTATTGAAAACTGGGAGTTGAATTTCGTCGAGGAGAAATCATCGAAGGAGAGAGAGAGAGAGAGAGAGAGAGAGAGAAAGAGAAAAACGTTTCGAAAGTACCACCTCGTGCAACTCGACGATGAATCGGTTGCATGGACCGATTACACTCGATCGAAAATGGAGATATATATATATAAAAAAAAAAAAAAAAAAAAAAAAAAAAAAATAAAAAAGCGACGAGGAAGATCATTTACTGGCAACATTTTTAAGTTGCACGCGGTAATAGGTAATACAATTGTATTTTTCATCATCAATATGAAAAAAAATATTTACATTTATTAAACGTCAAACTTTATCACGTTCGATCAAATATATATATAAAATAATGTTACATTATATTAATTATTTTTAAATAAAACTTTTACCTTGCGTATGACGATAATATTATATTAAATTTTATTATTACGAATCATGGTTAATCTTTCGACGCCTATGAGATATAAGTAAGAGTAAGTAAGTAAGTAAGTAAGTAAGAATAAAATAGAAGGGATGAAATAATAGAAGAAAAAGTATTAAAGTCATGGTTTAAAGATCGTTTCTATGACATCGTAAAGTTACACACACACGCACACACATATATATATATGTACAAGCTGTGAGAAGGGTTCAAGCTTCTTACAGTGGAAAAATAGAAAAAAAATACGAAAAATTCTATCTCTCGCTCTCTCTCTCTGTTTCTTTCTCTTCCTCATTCTCTTTCTTTTTCTTTTTACGTTTGAAATATTTTTTTTTGCAATTAAATCGGCAAACAAATAAACGAGGAATGGGCATCCCGCGGATAAACGAGTTTTCTACTCGCGGTGGAGATAAAAGTCGAGCTTGTTCGCGATATACGGGTACGCGTTACTGATTTACGAAGTCCGAGGATAACCAAGGAGGATACCAACGTGAGGATCTTGTTTTAGATCTATGAGGATCGACGAACCATTATATTATTATGTGATCGTTCTTTCTTTTTTTGTTTTTTTTTTTTTTTTCGATTATTTTTATTCTCTTTCTTTTTATAGTATAAATATTTCATTCATCGTCGTTCAAATATTTTGACATATTTTTTGTTTTTTTTTTAGGATTGATAATTTACTCGTTTAATTGTTTGCTTATTTTTCAATTAAAAATATATATATTATATAATTTTTAATACGAACAAGATTATTTTCTAATTATTATAGAA